TTACGAGGAAATGTTTTCCACGGCTTTACGAGGAAATCTTTCCTCGTAAATTAGCTAGGCCTTTACGAGGAAAATAGCCTTTACGATGAACGTCTTTCGACGAAACACGTTTCCTCGCTATTTCCTAGTAAAGGGCCCTTTACTAGGAAATAACGAGGAAAACCCGTCCTAGTAAAGGACGTGTTTTCTTGTAGTGATTGCAATTTAAATATTACCCCCTCCGTTTAGATTACTTATCGTCTTATAGTTATTGTTTCATTTTAGGTAAACGTTTTATGTTTTTAATATATTTGTTTGATAAATTTTTAATCTTATCCTTGTTCTTTTAACACATTAAGAACATAATCAAATAAAAAATATATTAACTAGATATGGAAAAATAAATTTAATAATTTTCTTAAAGTGTGCAAAAAAATCTAAAATAACATATAAAATATCGAACTTTGCTCGTCAAAATTAAATACAATGCATATCATTTACTTGATCTATATTTTTAATGTTTGATATGTATTTTCTATTTGGTCTATACTGTCCATTCCAAGTCTTAGAGACTGTATTTGTTGTTTTTCGTATTTTAAATGTAGAATAAAAAAAATGAAAAACCATAAATTGACATGTATGCATGATTTTTGTCTATTACGTCCTCTCTTTCATTTTAAATCGTATTTAAAGAAAATATTTTGATTATAAGATAAATGATATTTTTATTAAATGATCTTTGATTCTCAATCACTCGTCCGAGATCAGTAAATTGTAATCAATAACATTTTTTTTCTGATCTCATAGTAGATTCTTTCATTGACATGAATTCGCTCACATGAAATTTACTGGCACTTCAATTCTTTGTGGATCCTTAAGATATATAACTCATTCAGAATATATCCCTAAAACGGTTTCAGGGGACGAATAAATAAGAATGACACTTTACAAACAATGGAAAATATATGGTTAAATTGGGGTATTAAGTGAAGCGAATATATCCTGACAGAGTAAAATCACTCAAGGCGCAATGCTAGAAAGTTCGATGTCCACCAAAGATTAAGCATTTTTTATAGTAAGTCATTTCAGAATGTATAATGGTAAAGAAAAATCTGAATAAAAGAGGAATTAAAGGTGATATATGTTGCGATCGGTGTGGAGACCCAAAGGAATCAGTGAACCATGTTTTTTTTAATATCCACCAGGGGTGCAAGTTTGGGTACTATCTCGGATTCCATCAAACCCAGATATTTTTCCAACACAATCACTTTTCACGAATGTGGATCATCTGTTTTGGCGAGTGTGTCCACAGATGGATGATCATCATTTTACATGGATTTTATGGTACATATGAAAAATGAAGAACAATAAGACATTTAATAATATAGAGATTGATCCTAGGGATATTCTCAAACTGGCGTAACGAAAATCATTACTATGGACTAAGTCACAAACGACACTTACTCAAAGGATTCTTCTAAGCGGTGGGGACGAGACAAAAACATTACCACATATCCCCGGCAGATGATGTTGTGTAGATGGATTATGGAAGGACAAAGAGCCACTTTTAGAAAAAAGCTGGTAATAGCACTCTAGAAGATTTTGTTGGGCTAATGGGGGCACAAAAATATTTGTGCTAATCTTTCACTGCTTCACTCTGAAGTGAAGGCACTTATTTAGGCAATATAGTCCATGAAGAATTTATGCCAATACCAAATAACATTTGCAACAGATTATTCTCAATTGGTGGAGATAGTTATGGAATCACAAAAAATGATCAGCTTTTGCAAGTTATTTAGAAGATATCAAGATCCTTAAACACAGTTTTCACTCCTCCGAACTTTTCCATGTACCTCGTAGGATGAATTAAAAAACAGATAGCTTTGCACGCAGTGCTAGGAAACAACCAACTTTCGTCGTCCATTTGGATTCAGAGTTCATAGTTTGGTTTGTAGAATCGTCATGAGTGTATATAAAATTGATGACAAAAAAAATATTTATATTTATTTAAAATTTATGATAAATTACAAAATTATTATTTTTGGTTAAACTGATTTTTTTACTAATTTGGAGATATTTCATACATGTGGAAGAATTTAAACTTATCTTTATGAGATGTGCACTAATCATTCAATTTTAACCGATCTGCAGCCTCTTCCTTTTCTTTTTACAATCTCTCTCTTTTTAACTAAATGATTTTACTAAAATTTGTTGAAAAGTATTGTAGTTTGCAACAAAATTATCTGACAAACTTTTAAATGTTTTAAACCTAACTATAGCTTTATAGCCCTTCCGTGCGGGTATTATTTTTATTTTTTTTAACAAATATTTTTAATGATTAATGTTATATATATATATATATATGTATCATCATATAACTAATTGTATATTCATTATCTGAATATTTTAGGTTTGTATAATATTCGAGTAGATTCTAATTTGAAAATTTAAAAATCCAATATCTAAAAGAAACGATATGTATCCGTATGAATGCCTTAATACTCATACCTAGTTAATTATATAAACAAATAAAAAAATTATTTTTAATTTTTCAGAGTTATTGTTTAGGATGGAGAAATTTCATTCAAATCGAATTAATATGTTTAACGTATAAGATAAATGCTATTTAATTATTATGTTAAAGATAATTAATGAAGTAATTATAAGAAAGGTGAAAAAATAATATAAAAGATGTAATTGACGTAGTTAGAGTTGGGAATTTTGATATTAGCATGCGGGTTGACCCGCCATGAAACAGGTCGATCGATTTGCAAAATTTAAGTTGCGGGTGTAGGTCAAATGTATTTTATGTGGGATGAGTGCGGTTTGTTCTAATTTCGATTGCGAGTACCCTGTAATCTGCAAAAATAGAATTTTTTTTACAGTTTGTTTTTCAAAAATATACTAATTTTCCTTAAACTAATTATATTTTTTGAAAATATTAAAAATTTAGTTATAAATATATACTATTTAATATTATTTTTTAGAAAAATTAAAAATAATTATTTTTATTATTTAATAATTATCTGTGGGTCTCGAAGATTACCCGCAAAATTAAGTAGGACTGATGCAAATAAAACATATTTTCTTTGCGGGTCAGGCAGATCGGAGGGGCCGAGTTTGACCTGCTTCCCATCATCAAACTTAGTTAATTAATATTATTTTTCCAAATTAAAACTACCCAATTACATACAATAATATCTATGATAACAATAAATTAAAATTTGGATTAAGTTTTTAAAGTTATATTAGATAGTGAGATTTTATATCATCAAAGCAAAAGACTCTGTAGATAACACAACAAAAAGAGTATTCGCGCTTAAAGTTCAAAATCTAGTAAAAATTCTATAATAAATGCTGTTGAATTATTTGGAAAAATAATAAATGAAGTGATTATAATTATTTCAAAAATAAATAAATAAACTGGTTAGTATTAGTTAAAAAAGAAGGAAAATATGTAAAAAGCCACTTAAAATAAACATATTATTTTTTTGTATTTTGTTTTATTAAATAGATAAACCTTCAATTAATTGATTTATCATTTAAGTCAACTATCATTACTATTATTATTTGTTTCTAAATATGATTAATTGCAAATAAAATACTCTTTGACAGTTTCTTTCCTTTTTTTTAGAGATAATTGGCTAAAGTACCCTATTTGGCACCTATAATTAGCGAATTGTCCATGATGTGACAATCACTTTCCTTTGAACTATTTTGCCCTTCTCTACACTCTCTCTCCTCTCTTTGACATCTCTTTTTTATTTCTCTCTTCAATCCCTAATTATTTTACAAATCTCTATCATTCTATATATAATTAAATTTTAAATTTCATTTATTTTTCATAAGTGGCTTTGAATCCTTAATTTTGACATTTTTTTCTCTCTAATCCCTAATTATTTTACAAATCTCTATCATTCTATATACAATTAAATTTTAAATTTCATTATTTTTTTCATAAGTGGCTTTGAATCCTTATTTTTTTGATGATATCAAATTTCTGGGTTTTAGATTCGACGTCGTGTTAGCGGTTAACAAATATTGTAGACGTTAACAGAAGTGTTAGGTGTTAACAATTATTTTTACGCTTCGCGTTAATAAATGTGTTCGCTGTTAACAAATATTGTAGACGTTAACAGAAGTGTTAACTGTTAACAATTATTTTTACGTTTCGCGGTAATAAATGTGTTGGCTGTTAACAAATATTGTAGACGTTAACAGAAGTGTTATATGTTAACAAATGTTTTTACGCTTCGTGTTAATGAGAGGAAAGAGAAAGGACATTCTCGGCATTTTCTTACCAAATGGTTGTGTCAGTGTCCTTCATGTCCAGTCAATGATATTTTGCTAATTTGAGCTTCAAATATGGGTAATTCACTAAATCACTCTTTTTTTTATTGAACAATTTATTTTCTTTGGTTTGAGAATCCCAGCATTTAGTTACAAAGAATCTCTACCGTTGCTTCTATTACTTTTTGTCAATTGATTTGTATACTGCTAAAGGGGTGACGTTTAATATAAGAATCCACAGAATTATGATAAAGCATATTAAGAAGAGAGATTGAAAAAAAAAATAGTCTAGTTTTCAATCAAGTTTACTGTACACGCGGCAATTATCCAATTATCCAATTAGCCAGGATATATTTTATTACAACCTATTGTCCGTAAGTCACAACTACACACATCATACAAGCGTCTCACCATTCACCTTCTGTTGAAAGGGTCCCCCATATTTTTCAAAAGTTATTTTCTTTGCTCAATCAATATTTTCGTCTTGATCGTCTCTGAAAAAACAATTCTCGCAATATTATTTTTGTTTCCCTATATTGTTTTGCTTCTCTTGATCCAGTCGTTTGTTCAATTTAACGCTCTCATCCTTCTCCTGCCTGCATCAAAATTCAGAGTAATCGCTTTGTTAATTTTATCTTAATGTAATCGTATTGCAGAATTATATTGCTTAACTTCCTGATATTGGATTTAACAAACAAACAAAAACTCATTAAATTGGGAGCTTTTTAAGATTGAAAAATATATTCTTAATCAGTTAGCCTATTAATGAGAGAAAAAGGGCAGATGAAGTAGTTAGGATTGTTCAGTTATACAAGGAACCAAATGGATGTGTTTGTGTTTCAGGAACAATGTCCGAGGATAACTTCATGGATAATGGTGAAGATGTCAAGTCTTCTACTACTAAAGTAAGACTTTGAATTGCTTCTACAGATACAAAGACAAGTTAATTTGGATTTTCTTAAAATGCTGGATTCTGTTATAGTTAGTTCTCAAGAATGTGGTCAGCATCAGACAAAGTTTTTAGTTACATTCATCCTTAAGTTTGATTGTTTGGAGATATTTTCTTGTTGAGAATCATTGTATGCTTATGACCAGTGGGATATTGTGTTGGTAATTTTATCGTTTCCCATACTTATGTAATCAGCAGGTTGATCCAGCAGTACCTGCATCTTTGACATGGCAAAGAAAAATAGACAGTGACGCAAAGGCTCCCCGGGAATTCGCTCTTACTGCTAAAGAGATTCTCCAGATGGTAACTATGATTGTAAAACGTTACTGTTGCTTAGCATGTAGAAAAAACATTGTGATGCAAATTAGATTTTGAAAATTGGGAAACCTGCGACCGCATAATGTGCTCTTTGTGAAATGTTTCGTTTCTGTAGGCTCCTGTGGGCATTCGGTTATGGTTTCTTGTCAGAGAAGAAGCTGCGAAGGGAAGGGTAAAACAAAATTGGACATCTCCACAAATGCGTTTTTTTTTTGGGTACATAGGCATATTGTAACTATCTTATTTAATTTGCAGTTGGCCTTCATAGATCCTTTCTCTAAGCACTCTGTAACGTCTTCCCATGGTGTTCCACTTGGAGGTATTGGGTATGTCTTCCTGATCAACAATTGTAAACCTTTCTATTCACTGTACATATATAAGTTTATTCATCTCTTAGTATTTGTTTATCAATGATTAAATGCAGTTCTGGTAGCATAGGAAGGAGTTTTAAAGGTGAATTCCAGCGATGGCAGCTATTCCCTCCAAAATGTGAAGATGAACCAGTTCTTGCAAATCAGTTCTCAGTAAGTTACAAATATATAGACTTTACAGGAGAAAACTAGATAAGTTGCAGGTGGCAACATCTGGGACATTCATTGACTCGTTAGCTCTCCAAGGTTTACTAAATTTGTCTGATGCAGGCATTTGTTTCCCGGGCCAATGGTAAAAAGTACTCCAGCGTGTTATCTCCTTGGAACCCAAAGCTGGCAAAGTAAGCTATTACAGTGCTCTCTGATAATATTCTTCTTTTCTCAGATGACTGAAATATTTATATATATTCGAAACAGACACGAGTCGGAATCTGGAATTGGTTCATGGGACTGGAATCTGAAAGGAGACAAGTCTACATATCATGCTTTGTATCCGAGGTCTTGGACAATTTATGAGGGTAAATATGCTTAATGTAATAAAGTTTCACAGTTGCTGCGTTTTTTTTGCATGAGGCTAAAAACTTGGATGTACAGGTGAACCTGATCCAGAGCTTAGAATTGTTTGTCGTCAAGTTTCACCTTTTATACCTCACAACTACAAAGAAAGCAGTTTCCCTGTGTCTGTTTTCACTTTCACCGTATGTCCACTTTTTCTTCTTCTTTTTTATGATGTAGAGCTACCATGTTACTGATGAGTTTGGACTCTAATTATTCATCAGATTCATAATCTCGGAGACACTACTGCGGATGCGACATTGCTCTTTACTTGGGCGGTAAGATAAGCTTTTTGAATGCATTCGTTTTGTTTTGCTTTAGTTTTTTAACCTTTCCATTAACAATAGTCATGTCCTTGGTTTAGAATTCTGTTGGAGGAGACTCAGAGTTCTCAGGTGGCCACTACAATTCCAAGATAATGTACAAATAAAATAGTTTTACTCCTCTACTACCCCATCAGACTTATCTTTAACTTTGTGTCTGTGTTCATATAATACTAACTCAATTTTGATGATTATTGATAGGATGAATAACGGAGTCAAGGGTGTGCTCTTACACCATAAGTAAGTTCTTCCATATTCTTTGCGTAAATCATCATATTACTATAAATTTTGTTGGTTAATTATCAGGCAGGCTTTGAATGTTTATGCTGCATTTTTTTTCTCTGATACAGAACAGCAAACGGATTACCATCATTGTCATATGCGATTTCAGCTCAGGAGACGGATGGTGTAAGTGTCTCAGTCTGCCCTTTCTTCACAGTATCTGGAAAGCAAAATGGAATCACAGCAAATGATATGTGGGAGACTATCAAAGAGGTTGGCATTTGTTAAAGAGCGGTGACTAACATTTTTTATTCTTGCATATGATTCAACAAGGTGATATTTTGTTACAGCATGGTTCTTTTGATCACCTTGATTCTTCTGAGGCGTCGATGCAATCTGAACATGGATCATCGATCGGGGCAGCAGTAGCTGCTTCTGCGACAGTCTTACCAGGAGAGTCACGCATTTTCACATTTTCTTTGGCTTGGGACTGCCCTGAAGTGCAATTTCCTAGTGGTAAAATATATTCAAGGTAAGAAGAGTTTCTAACTAACTTCCCTAATGGTGATTAATGGCCTCTAAAATACGATTTTTTTTCAGGCGTTACACAAAGTTCTATGGCACTCATGGCGATTCTGCAGCACAAATTGCTTATGATGCTATCCTTGGTAATATTCCTATAATATATTCTCTTTGAGAATGAAGCTTACGCTGACACTCTTATTATGGAACAGGACATAGTCAATGGGAGTCTTGGATAGAAGACTGGCAGAGACCAATACTTGAAGATAAAAGGCTGCCTGCATGGTACCCTATAACTCTCTTCAATGAGCTTTATTATCTTAATTCGGGAGGAACTGTTTGGACAGGTAGATTTCAGATGATACTATTTTACTTTCATCATGGATACCATTTTGACGCAATGTTATCATGTACTGTTGTGCAGATGGATCATCTCCACTACACAGCTTGGCAGGAGTCAGAGAAAAGAAGTTCTCACTTGATAGATCTCAATCTGTTCTAAAGAACATTATAGATGCACCAAAGCAGCAGAAGAATGATACAGCAGTCTCCGTTCTTGAAAAAATGGCTTCAACGCTTGAGGAACTTCATGCATCAATAGCATCAAACTCTGCATTTGGCACCAAGTTACTAGAAGAAGGAGAAGAAAACATTGGGCACTTTCTCTACCTAGAAGGAGTCGAGTACCGTATGTGGAACACCTACGATGTTCATTTCTATGCATCTTTTGCACTGGTGATGCTTTTTCCAAAACTAGAACTTAGTATCCAGAGAGACTTTGCTGCTGCGGTCATGCTACACGATCCCACTAAAGTGAAAACTCTCAGTGAAGGACAATGGGTTCTGAGGAAAGTTCTTGGTGCAGTTCCTCATGACTTGGGCATCAACGATCCTTGGTTTGAGGTTAATGGATACAATCTTCACAATACTGACCGGTGGAAAGATTTAAACCCCAAGTTCGTCCTCCAGGTGTACAGGGACGTCGTTGCTACAGGTGACAAAAAGTTTGCATTAGCGGTATGGCCATCAGTGTATGTTGCAATGGCATATATGTCTCAGTTTGACAAAGATGGTGATGGAATGATTGAGAACGAAGGGTTTCCTGATCAGACGTACGATACATGGTCCGCATCTGGTGTTAGCGCTTACTGTGGTGGACTTTGGGTGGCTGCATTGCAAGCTGCATCCGCATTGGCACGTGAAGTTGGTGACAAGAACTCTCAGGACTATTTTTGGTCGAAGTTTCAGAAAGCAAAGGTTGTGTACGAGAACAAGTTGTGGAATGGATCATATTTTAATTATGATAATAGTGGAAGTCGATATAGCTCGTCTATACAAGCTGATCAACTAGCTGGTCAATGGTTTGTTTCCCCCTCTTTTCTAGAATAATTGCTATAGTTAGAAATAATAAGGTGTAGTGATACAAGTGCAGGTACGCAAGAGCATCAGGTCTTATGCCTATTGTAGATGAAGACAAGGCTAGAATGGCTTTGGAGAAAGTTTACAACTTTAATGTGATGAAGATTAACGATGGAAAACGCGGGGCCGTAAACGGGATGCACCCTAATGGGAAAGTTGATACAGCATCGATGCAATCACGAGAGATATGGTCTGGTGTTACTTACGCGCTGTCTGCAACAATGATTCAAGAAGGTCTAGTTGAAAAGGCGTTTCAGACTGCGAGTGGTATATATGAAGCTGCCTGGTCAGAAACCGGACTGGGGTAAGCCTTTATGTTGATATCACTCTCAGACATATCCATGTATTCCTTCAAGTGTTTGATACAAACGTTTGAATGTGTTTGAACAGTTACTCGTTTCAGACTCCTGAAGCTTGGAACACAAATGATCAGTATAGAGCACTGACTTACATGCGTCCCCTTGCCATATGGGCTATGCAATGGGCACTGACAAGAACCAGCAACAAACAGAAACACTTCGGTCTGGAACCTGAACTAGAACCAGAGCCTAGTTCTCTAATGAAACATGATATCGGTTTCTCCAGGGTTTCTAGGCTTCTTAACCTACCAAATGAAGCATCAGCAAAAGGCACAGTTCAGACTTTGTTTGAATATGCTTGCAGGAGAATGATGTCATAGATTCACTTTGCAGTTATCATGCAATCATTGACTACACACATTGTTTCCCAAAATTATTTTGTTTTTCACAAGTATTGTAAAAAATTCAACCTATAATGCTTACAACTTAACAGATTTATCTTATGATGTGAAGAAAGACTAAATTTAATTGTGTACAGACCAAAGTTCAAATGAAGCATCAGCACCATAAACTGTTGAGGATAGCTTTCTGATACATAATAGAAATTATAGAAATCTTCCAACAGTTGACTCTATTATGTAACATCCCTATACCAAGGCTCTTTTTTTTTTTTTGTCAATTTGGTCACTTTGGACCGAAATCCTCAAACTGAGGTAAGGAGGGGTCGAATCCCTAACGTCAGGGCCCGAAGGCAGAGCTCAGTTGCCACTTGGCTACGAACAACCCGACTACCAAGGCTCTTTTAAATCTATAGTTTTAAAGGGAAATCCTGTTATGTCCATGACCTATTAAGATAAAATAAATGGTTTCCTTTCTTCCCTAAATAGAGATCTCCTTTCTCCATTTTTCCATCAGGGAAATTCCCATTAAGTTTTTTTCATGGATTCCGAGATCCGAGCCGTTAAGCAAACACGAAGCCCTAGCTGCCAACTCCCCTGCATTGGACCTGAGCCGCTCGACCTTCGCCTCACCTAGCCAACGTGCTCCACACTGGGGTCCGTCATTCGTTGTTGCAGTTTTACCTGCCCCCATCTTGGATCGTGACCACTCCTTAAACACGATTCCTGTTTTTCATAGCCTATCTTATCGTTTTTAAGCTCTAGTTGTTCTAAAGATCCATATCTTGTTCATCACTAATGTAAGTGATATCATTTAAATTACCCTAAAACAATTTTCTCTCTCAAATAAAATGTTTAGTTGTAGTATAAACCACAACCAGAAGGAGCTTGAACATATAATAGACTAACTAGGATAAGATCTGTGCAAGTATATGTAATTAATATATAAAATTTTAGTATTGACAAATTTAAAATTTACATATGATTGTTTTATATGTATTTGAAATTTTAAAATTTTAGAATTTTTATATAATTATCTATACGTAGGATTAGAAACAAATTATAACTGTTGATCAAATTTTAGAATTTAATGGATCTGATTTCATATATCAATTCACTTTTCAGTGTTCGTGTGACGAAAAATAAACGGAGTGTCATTGGACTCAATTGGTAGAGTATTAGCAAGTAACCTAATGTTTTTGTAAGAAGCAGTTGGTAAAATACTTGCATTTAAAATATATAAAGTTTCAACTAATTTAACATAAATTATTTATTTGTCTAATAATATTAGAAAACTATATTTTTTTAAGAAAATATTTTTTTTAAATTATTTTATAAAAAATTAAGTAAAATATTAAATTATTTTAAAAACAATATTTTAAGGTTTTCAAATACAAATAAACAATTTAAAATTAATTATGGTCATGATTTAACATAACCATAATGATTAAAAAACTAAAAATTAACAAATTAAAAATTAACTCAGTTTTATATCATGATTCAAAAATTTAAAAATTAATTATGGTTATGAGAAGTTTACGTTCACATGTCAATCCTATTTATCTTCAATTTTTTCTCTTGTTGTGTTTTTTTATATTTTGGTTATTACTCGATATAAATATTTATTTTGAAGTTTATTCTAATATCGTTTATTTGTTTTGACCTGAGATTTAGAAAATACTTAAGATTTAAAATAATTAAAGAGATACATACTTAGGTTAAGATCTGCACTTTATACACAATAAGTATTTTATATTTATTCTTTATTTTATATTTTTCTGCATATTATAAAATAATAAAATAATAAATTTATATATTAAATAACTAATAAATCAGTTACTGTTATATAATAAATTGACGTATGCATATAAATTTAACTATCACTTTTTTATTCGCAATTAGGGTAAATAAATCAAAATAATCAATTTTATATATTGTATATGATATATATAATTAAATTTAAATTATATAAACATAGTAATATAACACACTTTTAATATAGATATTTATTAAATGAGGTTTTTACTCATATGATTTTATGATTATTTGCATATTTATGTAACAAAATTTTACACCAACGAATTTTTTTTAATGTGAGATGTTTAGTAGTTTTAATAATTTATAATCATTGTAAAACAATGACATATTGCAAAATTAAAATATTAACTTTTCAATATATGTTGAAGGCAAATATCAAAATATAAGTATGTATTTTCATACGATGTATAGTTTAATTAAAACGATATGAAATATATATATAAACTAAAATTATTTCTTCATATGGTTTTATAATCATTATATTTTGATATAAAAAAAATAAAACCTTTGATCCTAAAATTTTATGTAAGACTTTTAACAGTTTTAGTAATATATACTCATTTTGAAAAATTCGAAATACAACATACACACAAAAAAAAATCGAGATTTTTATTATATGATTAATGTAATTGTGTAGTTTATTTTAATAATAAATAAATAAACAAAATGAGAAAAAGTATACAGATTGTTATCAAATCTTTATTGTTTAAAATCATTGATTGTCATATATATATTTTAATCATATTAGGTAACTCCGTAGGTTTTATTTAAGGAAAGCATGCGAAACAATAAATATTTGATATATGCGACCTACGAAATATTATATTGCTAGAGAGTATAGTTTTTAGACTATACATTATATCACATGCTCTAGAATCCTTGGGATTTGAAATAGAAGCCAAAGAGCTATGCCACATAGGATTGGGGTTATTTTCAATTCTTACAAACTTAAGGTTACAACTTTTTAAATGATTCTCAAATAATATATAGGGGATGATATTAAAATTAAGCAAAGTAGATCTTAATAAAGAAGTAAATAATATAGAACAATAAAAGCAGTTGGTTTGTAAATGATATGTTAAAAAAAGCTAGAAGGTTTCATGCAATAGAATTATGATGTATAAATGTTAAGGATGTATGATAAACCGTCCTAGAACTCGAATACAATAGTAATATATCCAGCTCTCGCTGAAAATCTATTCATATGATTAAGTCTTTATCCTAGCTGTCGCATGCGAACAAGGAGCGAGGAGGATCGATCGAACTATAGAGTGAAAGTCGATCGATGCTACTTTAGGCAAACATTAACGTCCTAATCGATATGTTCAATAAATTAATCTAGACCAGCTCTCGTATGTATATAACAACCAAGTTTAGCAGAATTAATGTCATATAATGAACCTACTGTCGTAGTTATCAGTATCCTAGGTTCATGGTTCTAGTTTGGTAATTTAAAACACAAACAATAAGTTCAATTCTGATGAAGGATCTTAAAGATTCATCCCTGGTAGTTCTATGTTTCAACAATTCATATAAACCCCATTGAACACCCTAAATCTAATAAGGAAAACTACTCAGACATGATTAAGCAAAATATAACAATAATCTAAATAAAATATATATATATAGAATGGTAGAAAAACTGGAGTTCAATAGAAAAGCTCTGAAGGAGTTCTTGATCTTCTCTCCTAACAATAACTAAAAAGCTTCTAAGAATGTTGGTGAATTCTAAGGTAGTTGTGGGAGTGGTGTGTTTCGCAAAAAGTGGAAAATACCTAAATACTAGGGATATGTCAACCAAGAGTAGTTTCACAATTATGTGGATATTCTGAGCTTGAGTCGGTCTTGACTAAAGTCGGCCCCGTCTACTTGTGTCAAGCGACACTAATGAGGTAGTGTCGAGCAACACGATGGAGGCAGTGTCGATCGACACTAAGGAAGCAATGTCAATCGACACTCTTCCCGAATCTCGACTCTGAGTTCTGATTTCTTCAACAACAACGAGTTTCCTCATCAATAATCTCCATAGTGCTCCATAATCTTCACATTGCTTAAATAAAATCCAAAGACATATAATAAAATCTAAAAAGACACATATACTATGGGGAAAACTGATAAAATCTATAGTATATTACTAAGTGAGGTGGTTTCAAAAGCCGATTATCTTCTCTTAATTGTATATATTACTGATCGACCATGGATTTTACCCATGACATGGTTTATAGGTGTTTTCATATATATATTTACTACAATATAGAGTCTATTTAGAGTATTTACAGGTTAAGGTACGTTCTGGAGAAATATGGTAATTTTGGTGTCTTTTGGAGCCTTTTGAGTGCAGAGCTGCGCAGACGCGTCAGATGTTTAGATATGGATGGAAATCTTCCTACGGTGAGATTGATCCCATCTTTGATTAAAGATAGAGCTTTGAGTTATCTTTCCAATGCCACCGGTCTCAGGTCAATTAGCATCCTGTAGCACAAGTTATGCCCGTTTTACTGAAGAGTGGTCAGTCTGCCTCGCGAGAGAAGGTTGTCGAGAAGAGGAATGTATATCGATCGATGGGAAAGCCTTCATATCGATCGATATGGATTCCAGAATGCGGGCCGAGTATATTTCATGACCGACTGAAGCCCAGAAGATACCACAAAGTTACCAAAATACCCTTGACGACTTGAAACCCTATTTATGTTATTTCTAAGCCATTGTTGACGGCTATGCTATCTGAGTTTTTCNTCATCTATGATTTCTGTGACAATCTTCATGTCTGAATAGATCCACCTGTTGGATTTAGGGTTCATATAGGTTGTGGGATTAGCCCCAACTATAGATTGCTAAGTTGTGATATTCATTATCATGATGAAACCTAATGCTTGATTCTAGAGTCATGAACTAGAACCATGAACATGATGGCATTAATTCATTAATCATCATTCTGATATCATCTTGTATTACCTAAGATCCTCTAGAGATAAGCGAGAGCCAGTCTATGATCTTGGTGGGCACTATTTCAACTCGATCTGAAGCTATATCAATCGATACTCCTATAGAGTAATCGATCGACGACAAGTATATATCGATCGATATCGCTGTCAAAACATCGATCGATATTGTCGGCATAAGATTCATGGACGAGTCTAGACTGCAAAAGCTGATAGATTCGTCTAAGAGTTGAAGCTCTTTAATATCATGCATGAAACTTATTAGACATCTATAGCATAATAATCCTGATTACCTGAATAGAAACTCTAGATCTAGCAACCATCCTTCCATCAAACAAATCCTTGCCAAGCTGAACAATTATCTTGTTCATCTTGTTTACTTCTTTCAAGTTTACTATATTTA